TGAAAAATGCACACCTAAAATTTGAACGCCACCTTACGGGCTTGATACGCGTGACCCCACTGCGACAACCCAGCTTTGTCCAAATGCGTCGCTGAGAAAACGCATCGGATCGCAGACGTCGAACTTACCCTCAGAGCTGACGACAGATCTGAACACCCCACGGGCATGCTTTAGAGAGGTGCGAACTGCTTCCGTCATGCCCTCCCCTTTGAGTTTGCCTTGAAATTTGGATTGCACCCCCTGGTCATGTCCATGTGCTGCGATCATAGTGTTAGCCCAGAAACTTGCACTGGCAATATCATTTGACGTTTGCCCCTTGCCAAGGACATCGTGCGTGCGTCGCCTTTTCCCTGGACGTGGATCTTTCTCTCACCCCCCATCACCAGTGAACGAGTCACCACGAATGACCCACCCTGTAGTTATGCACCGTGGCGAACGCAATCCGCGACAACCCATATTGGCTAGCGCTTATGCTAATTTGATATAATAATAATAATTGGCAGCTATTGTCCCCGTCTGGTGTATTAGTATGCACAATGTGGTGTACATACTGACACCAGACGAGGACGTCAGTCCGCCATAAGGCAATCCGTGGTGCCGACATCTCGTCTCTCAATCATTCCGTGACACCAACCTGACACCGTTCTTTGACCCTCGACGTCGTGACCGACCCTGAGCGTCTGGTCGTAGGAGGTTTAACGGTCTGCCTTGTCCCTCCACTTGGCCGCCGCCCCGAGGTCCTCACCGATTGAGCGCGATGAGGAGCAGGGTGAGGTCGCCTCCTCTGGAGCAAGGCACCGGCCACGCCGGGGGTCGGTGAGCACGCCATAGTCGCCAATAGATGGCGCGGCGTTCGGATTATGCGACCGCTAGATGGCAGGCAAGTGGTGACGCACATCAGGTGCATAACGTTTTGTGAAACTCGTTATTGAGGGTAAAACGCATTCGGAATATTATACACTGTCGCGCCTGAATGCGAGGAGGCAGCTGCGACCCCGAGTCATTATGAGGTAGCAATATGGATGTAGGCTTGTGCTGAACCGTGTCTTCCAAAATTGGTCACTGGGCTCGGATCAATTGAGACTAGATGCGATATGTCCTTTTGCGACTTGCGACAGTGTGTAAATAAAACCTGTTAAATGCGAATGATAAACCGTTCCGCTTGTTTTGGGCGTTGAACAGTTCGCCAGCGCGCCAGTTACGCCTAGCTGAAGGAGAGGGAGCATAACTCAGTTCGCCAGCGCGCCAGTTACGCCTAGCTGAAGGAGAGGGAGCATAACTCAGAAGGCCCATCCCAGGTTGCAAAAGGCGCGCGCAAAAACCCGTGGTAATAATGGGGGCAACGTTACAAAAAAGCGCCATGGCTGTGTTGGTCACACTAGCTATCACTCAGCCGCGCAGTCTGACCTGGAGTAGTAGGACACATGAGGTCGCCCTGGACTGACACCTCCTCTTGAGTCTCCTCTGGTGGAGGACCGAGCTGCTCGAGAGAGCCCAACTCCTGAAGAGGTCGCAAACACAGCCGCATTAGCGCAGCCCTTTCTGGTGCTCATGCCATTGCAGGGCAAGACTCTGTACAAAGTGTTTTTGGGAGGGGAGGTGAGGGGGCAATATACATTATTAGAAGGAAAAAATCCATTAATTTTTCCTCCTCTGAAAACCCATGGCTCTTCTCAACGCTAAAAACATTCGGGTTGACGTGGCAATGTGGGGGGGGGGGGGAGGGAGGGACACACAACATCAGGGGGGGGGACATGGTCTTCTGAAGGATATGCAAACTTCTACCTATGCCTAATGACATAAGGCCGCACATGAAACGTATTTCGTACCACGCATTAGTGCGCAAAACCCATGCACTCATAAATAAATCCTGAGACCTTCCAATATATTTCATTAAAGCGATTCCTATCCTAAATGAATCTGCAAATTAAAGTGCGGAAAAGATGCCCTCTGCTGTATGGTAAGATACAGATCACGATGCCTTAGGTGAGCCGCGTTTGAGTCCATTCGCACTTAAACGATATGTGGGAGCCACGCATATCAATTCTTTCCGCTCCTTAACATTGTTCGAAAACAACACGGAAAGGAATTCAAAGCATGCCCTCAACGCTGCTCGAATACGTTGGCTGATCTCACCAACAGCTTTGACGAAGTTAATACAACCACTGCCGACTATTTTCGTTGAAAGTCCATCGTCATGCACCCACAGCACCTGGCGGGCTTTCTCTTGGGTGGAGGCCACTGGCAGACGAAATGTGAAGGTGGCCGTTTCTCGGGACTGAGTTCGTCACTAGATGGCGCTGCCTCCTCGAGGGGCGAGCTCAGGCTGAGGTCATGAGAGCCGGACGGACTTTGAGGTGTGCCTGTAATGACAGAAAATCACTGCGTTTTGCTTCAGTTTGCCATGCGCCCTAAGATTCCATCTGCGGCGATGACAAGCGAGACCATAACCGAGATGACTGTAATCACCATACAGCGTGTGCCTGATCACCAGCAAATAGGGCCGTCGCATTTGGAAACTTATACGTATAGGACTTATGAATGCTGTAGAATGTCTTCCTCTCATGAGTTTAGCAGGCGGAATCGTCATGATGTTCAGCATTCCGGCACAACTTAAAAAATGGCCGCTGGCATTACGTCAGTTATAAAGTGCATCTTTGAGGAGCATTCCACACTTGCATGAGACAGTACTTCTAGTCGCAAATTTCGTCCAGGAGAGAGGAAAGATAGCTGCATTAATATTTCAGCCAACGACACCTTGGCAGACAACGGCACCTTACCTCATGATCTAATCAAAAACACTTCTCATGACTAACAACACTCAACAACTTAACACTACTCATAATCGCTTTGCTCAAGACATGGGACCGAAATACTTACCGCACACATCTCTCCTTTCTCCTGGTTATTCGACGAGAAGTAAGGCTAAAAGGGCTTTCTTATGACTGCTGGAAGATTAACTGGCTTTCAGCCAGCCAAGGCCTAGCGATTTTTTCTCGACAACAAAGGTGACTTTAGGAGATGTTCACGCTCATGGTGACCATGGACACAAGTGTTGTGTGGAAACGACAGCATTTTAGAGAAACTGATCGCAGTAAACTGAGTTATGCAAATGCTTAGTGGTCGTGGCTACATCTATGTCGGCATACGACACAGTTTGTGGTATTTGAGGCCGGTTTGGGAGAAGGTGACATTGGGTGCTCCTGGCGCTGCGCTACTAGCACATCTCTGCGTCGGACAGCGCTAAGATTCGCTGGATGATCTAAATACGGTACCCTCAGGTCTTATCAGTAAGTAATGAAATCATGGTAAAAAATAGACGTTCAATTACTTTGTGAATATACACCCATGATCACGGACTAGCATGGCAATTATCATAGTTGGTAGGCCGTGGATCATGCCGATGGTAAGTTATTTAGTCACAGTAGCAATGAAACGAAAATCATACAAATATCCTGCCCGTACAGCCAACAAACAAAGCGAGAACCTTTGTGCGACCGACTTAAGTCAAGAACTTCAGAAAATACACAGTCACGTATACATACATTGCAGAAATCGGCACCCAATGCCCATACGAGTACATAAGCTTTCTTTTCCATATTTCAGTCTTGTGCTGCCACAACCATAAGACTTACCAGAACCACGTGCAGTGCAGAGCATGAGCATTTCTCGCTGAAGCTCTTCCACTTTCCGACTGAGCTGTCCTGGAAGGGCTGACCAATCAGCAGGTTGCCAAGAAGATTTATGCGAACGCAGCCAATCAGGGAGTCCCCCGTTCTGGGCCAAGCTCTGCTGTGATGACCTTGAGAGAACGATCTGGTAGGCCGCTTTCCTTGCCGGGGACCGAGCACCTTCTCCAAGCGTTTCGCCTGCAGTGGGAGGAAAAGCATTACATCACGGCTGCGACTATTGCGTAGCTATTTTTCAGCCTCATGGGGTGCAATATTGGTGTGTTTCGTATCAATAAACGGTGACGACGATAAATTACCTTTAACTACTATATGATCTACTCCCTCCGGTAAGGAAAGTGTGCACTGGCACATTAAATGTCGAAGAAAATCCACAATGTTTGTTATCACCGGACACATTGGTGACACCTGAAAATGTGTGGGTGATGCTGCTACTCAATTCAGCAATGCATTCATACTTTAAGCCCGCAAATAGGACAATAAAACGGCATTGATACATTCGTGACATCGACAGCGAGCTATTGATGCCAGCAATCTCTTTGCTTTAGTGTTTAGCGCTTTTATTTCAGTGACGTTCTGTAATCCGTTCAGGGACACTATGCACAAACGTCGATAGCCATCGCTTGTCAAGCTATTGTAAAGGTTTTCTCGACCAGTAGACATCACCGATGGAGGCTGGCTGAGAGCGATTATAATTAACTTATCCACTTCCACCACCAAGGTCGTGCTGACCTGTGACAAAAGATCAGTGCTGATTTCCTGAAGTTTATCCACTGTTTTCTTGTCGACCTGTCTCCGTCGGACACCGGGAGATGGCAGTACCAGTCGTTCAGGCTCGTCTACCCGCAGGCTGTCTGCTACAGTAGCATCCGGTTCCTCTGGGGATACGACGCACAAGATACAAATACTGGTAGAACTAATCGGCACTCAGTTTTGTCTTGCATTATTTTATTTTGCTTACATCCGTTGAACAGGCAAAACAGCATGGATATGAATGATGAACTCGGGAGTACCTTCTATAGCTGGAGGGGAGTCTTCAGCAGCGACATCTATTGACGATCCGGCAGCATGTAGTTTCCTCATGTTGCCCACCAGGTGCCGGGCCAGGTTGGCCTGCTGATCGCTGTGATGCTGAAGTGAGGCCTGGAAACAAAACACCCGTGTTCAGAGGCGAGGTTAGCAGTTGCAGAAAGCGACGTTTGGTGCACCTTCTGCTAAGAGAACGAAATGTCGAATATAACCACACACGAGCCGAATCGGCCTGTCGCATTCTAGATCCGGCCGGGTAAAGTCGGAATATGCGCATACCGTTGACGGGCGGGACCGACGAATGATAGTAAAGTTACCATGGAGTAGAATGGAAGAATGAAAGAGGAGTGGAAGCACAGGAGAGAGATGGAACAGTCCGAGCCATCGAATAGGAACATTTCTTCGGGAGATACCTACTTCTGATGTCATACTTGTAGTGACATCACATTGCGTATGCCACATGATATAATGATTATAGCAAGATATGCGAATGATGTGATAAATGGGTGGTATGACACCAAGCGGGTTAGCAATCGAACAGATCCCTCACTTAATTCGATCTTGAACCTCACCACTCCACAAAAGTCTCGTCTACCGGAAGTTGGTACCGCTGTTCGCGGAAGAGCACAGGGGAAGTGCGACGGCAACGAGATAAAGGCCTCACACGCTCGTGACTTCAGACATGTGCGTGGGTATCTCGAAAACTTCGCCCTTTATCAGCTTTGTCAGAAAATTGTCGTCATCGTTTAGCCAAAACTACCATACATTTCGGCTGTCATTGCCCTTGCCAGGAAACATTTGACCTGGTTTGATCCCAAAGCTCAGCACCTGCGCCAAACCTGTGTAGCATCAAGCATGTTCCACGCGTCGCCACGCTAAACGATCCTAATTTTCACCGTGTAAGTTCGGTTTTTTCGCTGATAAATATTTTCGGTTGTGATTGCTAACCCATATGATACTCACCCAGATGTTACTCTCTGAACGTTAAACAAATTATTAGCGAGCTCAAAACACCCGTTCTCAACTTAAAATGTGTATTATGACAGAACCCGACCAGTGCCGTTAAAATCTATGCTCGTAGAAGTGACCTACCTTGACATGAAACGCCTAACCACACGACTACGACTGATAGACGCGGCTTCATACCACACACTTTTGCCAGCTATGCACGACGAATAATGCGTTTGTGAAAAGAAGCCCAGACCTAAAGCATGTATTCTTAGCTAGAAAAAGCATGTGTGTATCTCCACAAGCAACGATAGACAAAGGTCATCCACCTTGTCTCTGTAGCCTTGTGAAGGTAGTCTACCAATTACCCACTTCTCTATTTGTACACTGACGACCCAATTACCTACTCCATGTAATCCCCATGCATTGGGGTCATCCACAACGTCTCTGCAGCTTTGTGAAGTTAGGCTGCCAATAAGCCACTCCTCTATTTGTACACTGGCTAACTAACCAACTGCCCACTCCATGTGATTCCCATGGATTGGATCACCTTCACGTTGTCAATAATGTAATATCTCGTCGTCGTACGCATCAGGCATAAGTCCCCTCCGGTATCCATCCAGAACTAGCGGATCCCGCCAACGCGTTTCAACTATTCCAAATAACCGCAGCTAGAATTGCAATCGATAAAGCAGTGAACGCGGCCGGTAGGGTTCGAACCTACGCTCCCAGAGGGAATCTGATTTCAAGTCAGACGCCTTAACCACTCGGCCACGACCGCCACAACGGCGACCGCGCACTACGTTTTCGAAAGAAATGCACGCTTTTCAGCATCGCGGACAGAAAATCCTTTCGAAGGGCATTATCGGAACTTTGTAATTCGGCATAACCCAAATCCTTACCAGCTGTCATTTTGAGCAGCAAAACTGCCTCCAAGCAGTTCAGCCTGGTCGTCCATTTCACTCATTAATATTGCATGGGTGACAACGGTAATAAAAGCAGATCAAAGTTTTGTCAGAGCTTAGATAACTGGATTTACCTCGACAAAACCCGGACTGGAGCCTCATCTTAGTCAGGGATTTCAGTCAGCGTCGAATCAGATCAAAGGGCAAAGAATATCTCATGGCAGCTATGCAGGAAGCAAAAGCTTCATTACATGCCAGCAAGGTGCAATTGCCCTGCAAGCTACGACTCCTCAAAACGTCATTAGGACTTTGTTTAGGATTGAGTTAAATAATTTTGTTGTGATCGCTGGACTTTAAAGTTGCTAGCGCAGTCTCTACCAATATTTTTGAAAGCTGCATTCCACATCGAAGTCCCTTTTTCTCTCCCATTTCACTGGGGAGAGTTCATGGTAGAAGGAGAGGGATTTTTTCCCGCCCAGTAAACATGCCATAGGATGTCCTGCTTCACCACACTGGCATGAGCATTAGTGTTTCACTCGTAGAATGCTCCTAAACCATATAAATCATGTTTGCCCACCGCATCAAAAGCTGTGTGAAACGTTCTGTACCTGAGAACCGATTAATCACAATCGTATCGATTCTTGCATGGTGCCAATGCGCATTACGTAGAAAAATGACGTCAAATCCCATCACTTTTCCAATTGCTTTCAACCATGTCTCGCACTTGCTTGCCACAATCATAGATGAAAATAAGTGACTTAAGATGTTCCGGTCGCACCCAAGCCTTCTTCTAAAAGAATCGATCACAACGCGATATGATCAGCGCCTTGCTACCCAAGGTAACCAAGGAATCATTTCCGTCCAACCGCATGCCAACACGAGTGTCATGCCAACCAACAACTACCAACTACCCAATCCATGTGATTTCCATGCATAAGTGACCAGGACATGCCAGTCGGAGACCTCTTAATGCGCTGCCACCTGAGTTCCTGGTACGGTGGCCAGCCTGCAAACGAGGAAGCGTGCTGGTTTCAAGAATGAAGGAACGTCGTCGGAACCACATGGCCTGGCGGGGCCCCAAACGGCCGAGATGTGATGCGAAGGTCTCATCGGAACTCGTGAAAGTCCTCGGGAGTGCCGAACATAAAGAGCTGATCGCAGCCGGTAGGGTTCGAACCTACGCTCCCAGAGGGAATCTGATTTCAAGTCAGACGCCTTAACCACTCGGCCACGACTGCTTGCTGGGCAGAAAGGTGATGCACCTGTGCCAGAAACGCATGGCGAAGCTCTGCGCTCACTCAGCCCCCTCCGACTCATCAAGCTCCATCACCCACTGACATTCCAATGGCAACATCTGTGCTACAGGTGGCAACGACCACAGGTGGTCGTTTTAGAAGTGCGGCTCTGACGTAAATGCATATTGGCACTTCTTCTTCCGCACAGGCCGATCGTATGCGCCGTTTTCATCACCATCGGTGTACGTGTAGCGAAGAAAATCGCCCTGGCGCTCGTCTGCTCGATTATAAAACTGGTAAACGCATGTATAGCCATAATCCACTTCCAAGGGTTTAGTGCGTCCGGCGCATCCAGACAACCATCGGTGCGCTCAAAGCATCTATTCTCAGTTTACCATATTACTTATTACCATATTTACCACATATGCCATATTTACTATATTACCACATATATCCCGTATTAAAACGAGGCGTGATCAGTGTGATTAAAACGTACGCTCTCCAAGGCAACCCAGTTTCATGCCAAATCTTGCGATTTATATGTGGCACACAACGCGTAGGTACACAGAAGCCCGGAATCATGTCATGCCACAGAATGCATTCGTCGATAAAACGTGTGAAACATTGATTTCCGCCAGCAACGAGAGATAATCCTGTTCTCGCGGAACAAACTGACCTGTATATGTATGCATATGCATGCATGTTTATGTATGTATATACGCGCGTCAACTTGGCCAGGTGACATTCAGCTGCAGCTGGACTGCATAAAGCACTTCACGCGGTCGGTAGGACTCGAACCTACGCTCCCAGAGGGAATCTGATTTCTAGTCAGACGCCTTAACCACTCGGCCACGACCGCCCCGAATACCCCCGCCTCACACATTTTCGCCACAAATACGTACTTTTCAGCGACACGAACGGGTAAACCGTCATCACCCTCTCAGCCGCCGAAGGTAACTTCTGCTCGTCACGGCAGCTGTCCCCAGCAACGGAACGGAACTGATGCCAGCTAACGTCACTGAACAAACCGGGGATTGTGTGGTACGGACCGCTGCCAGGCGACCTCGTGGGGCTGCTCCGATTTTTGTCACAATTTGTGACCAGCATAGCTATTATCATCACGACCGCGTTAGATGCAAACTGCACCGGGAATTCTGCCCAGCCTCCGCCATCACCAGTTCCCGCAATGTTCACGGTATCGCGAGCATACCAGGAGACCATGCATCCCTTTTGACACATGCGCTCAGGTGGCTGGTTTACTGCAATATGCTCGGGCGAAGGGCGCGACATTCATTTGACCCTCCTGTAATCTCGAATACTAAGAGAGCTAGGGAGACCCCACCAAAAACACACAAAAAAACGCACAGATTAGATGAGGCTCGATGCTCACTCAGTTGTGTCAAATTTTGATGCCACTTCGGCTTGAAATTCGGGCCAATTTAAGGTCAAATAAGTGAAACTTTGGATCGATGACCAAATGACTTCATACATTCTCACTAAACCAGCCTAAGCCCAGATACGTGCTATGAGGAAAATATCACTGGTGTTTACATCAGGTCAGTGGCATTATTTGACATCTATAATGTGCAAATAGCCATGTTCCTAAGGATTGTTTTTATTTTCGAATTCAAAATCGGGGCCAAGTATTACCCTACGCGGCATGCTCCCCAAGCCAAAAGCTTGATCGAGGTTCTTCAAGGTCAGTGACCTCCTCCAACCTCCATAAAGTCAAAATAAGACCACTTTTGACATGGCTGCGACCCAGGAATTCGAAAAAGGCGTCAAAAACAACAGGAGAAAGCGACGCGATCAGCAATAAAGTGGTTTAAGTTTGAAATTGATCTAGCCTCAACACCTGGCCTAAGGTCAACGAAATTAGTCGTAACCGTAACTTCAATAGCCTACTTGGCTACGAAGCTATCTCAAAGTTGTATGATCTCATCCAGCACTACGCTGGTGCATCATGTTGAACCAGTTCATGGAAACTGCTCTCGCTGAAACACAGGCATGACCTGATTTTTTCTGACAG